GGAATGTTGTTATATTTTCAAGTCTAATAAAAGTTAAGTTTTAAATATATTTATTAAACTTTCACTGCCCTACATCCCATATTTAGCACACTTCATTCTCTCTCTTTTTTCTTTTTTTGCTTGTTTCAATTATTAAGGTTATCCCCTTTAGGAGTGTTTGCTATTATCTAGCTCATTTCTTGCCTTTTTTGTCATATTATAAAATCGTAAATAACTCCTGTATAGTATAAACAAAAACACGTCATAGTGTATCATGAAAAACCAACAATAAAATGTGATATAAATTGGAAAAAAACTCACAATTTACAGAGTCTATTTGGAGTCAGCTCTGAACTACAGATGCATATAATCAACTTAGAGTTGTAGTTGAATCACTAGAATATTCAACTGTTATAACTATCGAAAGCTAGTCAGGAACCCATAACTAATAAAGGTTAACAAAAATGTATTGTTAAAGTAGATAAAACATTTTTTTACAACAGCACAACACGTTTTAACCCTATTATGGTCTTCCTCAGTTACTGAATATCATCACAAATGACAATACATAAAATGTCTTGTCATTTGTGATGACAATTTGTAATGTCGATATATGTTATTCAACAAAAACACATGGTCTGATGTAAAAATCGCCACCTCCAACATCTGGTACATCTGGTTTTGGCACTTAACCAGTCCAATATTGCCACATCCAAAATGTCCCGAGGTCAGCTTCCACTGACGCACTTCCAATTCTCAGCAACATTTGTATTGCAGACGCATGACAGGAAGTAAACACGCTGCAATCTTACAGGTACTGGAAGACTTGAGGGATATACACTGGTGGATGCATGTCACAGGAAATATGCACTAGCCCATCTTTGAGATCCTTACATACAATGGAGTCTATGCTGAGAATCAAAAGTGTGTCAGATGAAGCTAACACAGACATTTTGGATATTGTACTGGTGTACTAATTAAGTGCTGAAATAGGGTGTATCGCCATGTTGGAGGTAGTGATTTTTACATTTGGTTTGGGCCTTATTTGACAAGGGGAGTATTTTTGTTAACACTTATGGGCATTATAAAAATCATTTAGGGGATATATATACATTTATTGTCATTTGTGATTACATATTGCACCGGAGGAAGACCTAAACAGGGTTGAAATCCGATGTGCTCTTTTTAATGGTTTTATCTACTGTAACAATAAAACTTTTGTTAACCTTTATTGTTTTTAGGTTCCTGACTATCTTTGGATAGTATTAACATTTGAATATTTCAGTTGGCCAACAGAATCCAGTGATTGAATTACATTTCTAAGTGGATAATAGGCTCTTTAAATTTGTTAATTTTCCAATTCACATCACCATTTTATTATTGGTTTTACATGCTACACTATGATGTGTTTTTGTTTGTTTTATACAGGATATATTTTAGATTACATATTGAAAAGGGAAACATAATCATTGTGTTCACTGTCACCTTTTTGTTTCATTATTTTAAGTGAATAAGATATACTTCATATTTAGAAAATTTTTATTGTAAACATTTATTTTGTATTTATACTCTTTTTATATACTCTCGTTTTTTAATCCTCTAAATAGAAAGCAGCTAGTTGCTTTTTTAGATTTTTTAGACATATACCTGCCTAGTATTGTATATATTTTTTTTTTGCTGGTACTTCTGTGATTCAGGCATTGGTACTCGTCATCATAAATCATAAATCAATTATACCATGTTTCTTGAATTGCCACATTGTTTTGTGACAGCAATATATGAAATTGCCCACTGGACTGGTAACATTGTGAAATTTCTGGGCACCCCAATCCTCCATACTGTCTAGACCTTGCCAAAACTTTAATTTTAACCCTTGCTTTCTTGTCTCCCTATACAAACTTAAAAAAAGATGAATATAGTAACGGTAGCCAATTTTCTGGGAAATTTTCTGGGAAATTTATAGGGATCATTCTCCATAATTACAGCCATTTTGGAAAAATATATGCTTTTAAGATGTTGATCCTGCCCAACCAGCAAAAGCCCAAACCTTTCCAATCCCTTAAATTTGTTTTAGTAGAGGTAAAAAGTTGGCTTCAATTAGATCTTCTTTATCTAGTGTATTTTTAATGTTTCCTCTCAATTAATTTTGTATTTACATGATTAACCAGATTTTCAACATTAAATATTTAAGAAAGAATAACAGTTGTATGCTTTATATAGGATATTGCTTTTAGAGAAGATACAATACTATTTTTGTAATCACATTGCATTTAAGGACACCAAAATAATTACGAGTTTGGGGGAGATCCTGCATTTGACAAAAAAATATATATATTTCTGATGGAAGCCCAAAGCAAAGGTATCATTACAAAAAACAAAAACAAAAAAGTAATATATCTATTTAAGACAAATCCAATAACACCTATATTTTATTTTACCCCCAAGATTAAAAAATGTCAATGTCCTCCAGGAAGGCCAATCATTAGTGGCATTGAATTGGTACAGCCAATTTATTATAATTTGTAGATTTTTACTTACAAACATATCCCAAAAGCAATATCATATATAAAAGATAAAATTGTTATTTTTCAAGAAATGGAAAATATTAAGTGGAAAAGAGAAGGACTATTGAGCTAATACTTTTTACCAACTACAGGTACAGTCATGCGATCCAAGTTCACTCCCATATGTATGAGGAATTGGGAAAACCAAGGTCGAAGCATGGCTGGAAGGCAAACATTTTTTATAATTCTTTTTTTTCATTTTACTAAATTTACAGGAAATAAACATATAGTAAATAAGATTGACATGCATGTATTAGTGAGAGATAACAATATAGATAATCTTGAATAATCCAGATAACAAAACATATATATTCCTTCCCTAGTTCTCTTCACTATTATAGTCATCACCCGTTACCTATTATTATTCTGCCAGTAGATAGTGCTACTCTTGATGCCAATTTGTTTTTGGCTTTCGTGAAACCATCTATAGGTTTTGTAATTAGTAAGTCCTAAAGAATTATTGGATAAGGTTTACCTAGGATTTGTGAGAGTAGGGTGGTAAGCTTGTTAAAAAGTTGTTTAAAAAGTTGTTTGAGTTTTTTGGGCAGGACCAGTGCAGTGCAGAAAAGTATGCTATGAACATGCAAAATGACTAATATTTTAACACAATAGTTGTGGTTTTATGCACATAGCTCCCTAAGTTATCAACATACGAGTTTCACCATTTAAAGTATAGATTTCCTGCAGAAATGCCAGTTTTCAGCACTAGAAGTGTTAATTTCAAACATAGGAATGTACTCTTGTAGTCCTGAAAAATGTGAATATATGGTTGTACCAAATAAATTGCTCTTGTGGTCCTGGGAACTGTTTGTATTCGATTCTATCAGTATGGTAAATAAACAAAACCAGTTTAACCGGGTCAGAGTAAGGAGGCAGGTTTAAGGGCAGGGAATATGCTGGAAGGTATAACTCTTAAGAGGACCATTTAAAAAAAAAAATATTAGTATTGTGTAAGCTATTTTGCGGAATCACTTGTACATTCAGAATGTAACATTACAGGCACATGCCTGTTCAGAGGTCCCGTTAGCCTTACTAATTTAGTGTCAGGCTGCAAGAGTGTGCTCTAGGCACATGTATTTTATCAAAGGACATGAAGGTTGATCTATTCAGAGCATCATAAATCCTCATCTTCATTTCATCAACCATAACAGGTATCAACCTCTCTGCATTGCTTCCAGTGAGAACATGCATTAGTGGCAGGTATTGTGGGGTTAGATATCACTGAAATAAAATTGACAACTTCCCTATGCACATAGCCATTGCCACCCGTATACTTAAATAAAAATTTTGATTCAATTTTGCCATGTTCCACAAAAAATTTTACATCCAAAAAAAAGTTATTTCATTACAGGAGTAATTTTCTCCCTTTGATTGATTTATAAGTCCTTAGCATGAAAAGGTCAATTTTTAGGGGTATTGTTTTAGTCAGAACATGTAGCTGAACCCAGTTTGTTTTGTACATGATTAGCACACATCAGTTTTAGGAAATATACATTAAAAAACTTGATATATGTGTATGAAACCCCTCTCCTACACTTGTAATTAAATTTTTACATGATATTGGCAATCAAATAGCCATGAAAAAGTGTAAAAATACCCTTGGTTATGTACAGTGAAATAGCTACTTTTTATAAATGTATTCTTTTGTGTGGCAATTTTGTTTTCTGTGATGGCTATTAAACTTGTAATAAAAACATATCGTTACACATTGACATATTTTGATTGTATTTTGCGACCTTGAACTAAAAAAAAAGTGAAATTCTTGGAGATACAGGGAGCCATGACGTGAGGAATCACGCCTAGATGCTCCAGGAACCAAGGACTAAGGCGCGGAGTTTGACCTGCAAGCCAAACAGCCGCATGTTCACAGGGCTCCCACTATTTCAGCAGATTTCCCAACAATAATCAAATTGCAAAGCTTGAAAACACACCAAATAGCTCTACCCAAGCTAGGGTGGATCTGGTGTATCCACAAATATTTAGAGATCAGGAGCCTGAGATGGCTTACTGCAGCCTGCGGATGACGGAGATGTGGAGAGGCTGCCGCTTTCCTCGGCCTGTCACTGGCGGTACAAATTCATTGACGTCCTACCCCCCACCCCCTCAGGGACCAGTGGGGGTGATCCCGGTCCACTCCAGGGAGGCAACCCTGCTTCACAAGACACAGATCGAGCAGCATACAGCCATGGAGAAGCAGAAAATGGTGGACACCACATGCTCTCACACATGCTTGGACCTCGAAGCTAGACTGGACAGCTTATTCACTGCCTTCTGGAGAGAGCTGGAACTCAGGAAGCAACAGGTTCCAAAACAAGAAGTGAGTAAACACTTACCTCACAAGCTGCCTCAACGATCCCGTGGCAAACTCATGGTGCTCAAAGTGCAGAGGGCTTGAAAATGGCGGATCACACGACCCAGCTCACTGCGAACACGAGCTGCCCATCGGAACTCTGCCAGGCATCACAGCAAGAGAAAGGCAGTAAACGCTGCAACCAGAAGCCTTCCACAATCAGACCTGGCTACACCGAAGAGCCTACCTTACAGCCCAGGCCGGGTTTTGAGGCCACACAGGAGAAGCTTGCAAATCTCCCTAAACTTGCCTCATTTCCAAACCATGTCTGCGGGTCTCTACTTGGATGAGCAACGGGGCCTAGCACGGAGACTCTCATGGGAGGAAAGTGGTGTACCCCAGTGAGGCATTGGCTGACCTCAGGACTTAGCACAATAACCGACCATCTCATGGTACTCCCACGGTACTCCAACAATACACCCACAGTACCCACGCTGTGTGTCAGGTTTAACAATTGTTTCATTTACCCTCATTAGCATGTTTCCTTGATTTTGTTCTCACAAGCCTGGTTTACCTGGTGAGCCTCCTGGGAGGAATTCCTTTCAGTCACAGTGTATATAGTAATCATTCATTTTTCCACAATAGCCTACACCTAACCAGCACTGTCTCCATCATGTTTGCAACTAGCCTTCATGTCACTATATAGAAAATGTGCATTGTGTTTCCATGTCATGCCTTACTAATTCAATGTTTATTGTTATATCATGTGTATATGCTGTGGGGGCATTGCAAATGCATCTGTAAAATCTGTTTCTTTATGCACGCAAAAATAAAGAATTTATGAAAAAAAAGAGGTCCATGAGCAGTTTAATGGAGACCAGGAGAAATGGGATTATTTAAAAGTTGCACTGCTGAAGGCAACAGACAATTGCATTAGTAAGAGTATATTCTGCTTGAAAAACCAGCAGTAGGGATCCAGGAGCTTCTACACTGACGTCAAAAAGTAATATATAAAATATACTCAGATGAAAAAACAGAGTGTGTGGCAAGGTTATCAGTCCAAAATGATACAGCTCATTGGTAGAGATAGCCACTGCCTGTATAATTTACTTCCATACACAATAAGAGTATAAAAGAGAACTTGGCAAAATCCTTCTCGGATATATATATATTGCCAACATACATATAGTGATAAATAATAATAAGCAAGCACCAGTATATGGAACTGGCTGCTAAGAAAAATAATTATAGTGTAGCCGGAGAGTAACTAAAAGGGTTAAAACCCAATTTATTAAAAGTACAAAAATATACAAAAATATATGAAAATGGTAAT